CACACACACACACACACACACACAGGCAAGCACATACATCTTTAAGCTTGGTGACTTGTGTGGCTTTAATTCTGGAAGTGGTTAGGCAGAATGAATGGCCAAGATCTGGTTATTGGTGAGGCCTAGGGGAAGAGAAGAAAGGAAACAAAAGTCTTAGAAGAATCTCAAATAGGCTCTGATGACTAGAAGGGCAGTTCTACCAAGAGAATTTGTGTACTCAGAAGATGAAGAATCAGTTGCTTTAAGCTTTTTTTCTTTTTCCTGGCATGTAAAATATCTATACTTTCTGTTATAATTTCTTCTTACAAATTCCATTGATATTTCCTATTTTTGAGTGGCAGTGAACAGCATTACTTCTTTTTTATTTTAAAAAAATTAAATTTTTGTTGTTGTTGTTGAGATGAGTGTCCTGCTATTACATTGTCCAAGCTGCTATCAAATTTCTGGGCTCAACTAATCCTCTTGCCTCAGCCTCCCAAAGTATTGGGATTACAGTTGTGAGCCATTGTGTCTGGTTGTACCTTTTAATTTTTGTGTTCAGGCAGCATTAACTCTGAGTCACAGTAAGGTTTTTTTTTCTCACTGTCATATTATGGACATAGAAGTTTTTTGGTTTTCTTTAGGTTGTTTTTCCTTAGGTTCTGAAACATCAAAAAATGAGTTACAATCATTTTCGTCTCTTCCCTTTGCCATTCCCTTTCTTTTTTTTCTTTTTGGAGACAGAGTCTCGCTCTGTGGCCCAGGCACAGTGTCATGATCTTGTCTCACTGCAACCTCTGCCCCCAGGTTAAAGTGACTCCCTTGCCTCAGCCTCCGAGTATCTGGAACGACAGGTGTGCATCACCATACCTGGCTAATTTTTGTATTTTTTGTAGAAACGGGGTTTCACCATGTTGTCCAGGCTGGACTCAAACTCCTGGACTCAAGTGATCTGCCCACCTTGGTTTCCCAAAGTCCTGGGATTACAGGGATGAGCCACTGTACCTGACCTCTTCCATTTTTAAAAATCAAGGACTGTCTCTAACATATTAAAGTTCACAAAAAATAATATAAACACACATGTACTCACTGGCCATACTTATTAAGTAAAAAACATTTAGTCGTGTTTACTTTGAAGCTTTTTAGTTTTTTTGAGAAATAAGCCTTAAAGAGTTGAAGTCTCCTTTTTATCTTTTCCTAATTCTGTTCTTCCCTCTTCCTTCCTTGAGATCTTCACTATTCTGAGGTGAATTTGGATCTTTCTACTCCTTTTTACCACAGAAAAGTAATTTCTTAATGAATTTACCATATTTTAAACTTCTAATTTCAGTGGGCAGGTGACTCATTATGGTTTCTCTATCATTAGCCATTTTCAATGACTCAACTAGATTTTTTTCATCTTTGTCTTCTCATTTCTGGACAACAGCATAATATTCTCATTTGAGCTATTTCTAAAGATTATGTTTATTTAAAATATTTTTGTACTCTGATCATCAGATGTGATATTAACTATCTGATACACATTTTCTTAGTGACATTCTTGTAATCTCCTTTAGAAAGTCTTCCTATTCGTATTTTATAACCAGGGAGGGAGAGATTGAAGAGAAGAGACAGAAGGGTTTTATGTTTTTCAGGCCAAGTCATCATTTGATGAGAAACTGACATTGCAAGCTTCAAAAACTCAAGATATATATTCAGCATGTAGTAGTAGCACAAGTAATTCTTCGTTTAATAGTCTATACATTTTGGATACACTGTGATATATTCTTGTAGTCAGTAGCATGAAAATTTTAATGTGATATTGCAGTATGTTTATGGTTAGACATGAGGACAGTGCTGAAGGAGAAAAATCTAATGACTGTGGTGTTTTGTCAAAATATGCTACCTAGCTCCAGAGTTTTCTGTTTTGGAGAAGCGGAACTGGTTGATTCATCCTCATTATATCTGGAAAGATTATGAAAGATTATGAATAAAAAGATTTTATTATGTCAATCTCAAGGAAAGTGATTGCCATGATAATAAACATGAGAGGCAAGATGTTGAGTAGGCAACTAACAGTGCCTGCTGCACAGAGTGTGGCAGTTTATATCTCAGTGATAAAATATGAATTCCTTTTTTCCCATACTTGATATGCTGGTTATCTTTTGCTATGGTAGTGATGCTTAACATACAACCTCGAAATTTCAGTGGCCCCCAACAAACAGATATTTTTTAATTGCTCATGGGCTTTTAGATCAGCTGGTGGTTGGCTGGGTTTGACTGCAGGCTGTGGTCAGGTTCAGGTGTGTTCCATGTGTCTTCTCATGTCAAGACCAAACAACTCTTTGGGACTTGTTAGTCTTCCAGTGGAGGCAGATGTTCAACTCAGCATATTATCTTAACTTTTTTTTCTTTGGATAGATGAAAAATCCAAAGTCTTTATAAACTAACCTCTTTTCAGTCCTTTGTTCGATGGAGTTCCTATCTTCACTTTCTCAGTTACATTGCCATTCATACCTGTGTTGTTTTTGCATAGAGCTTGGTTTTTCTCCTTTCTCTCTCAACTCATGATCCAATATCAAGGAAAGAGACTTAGTCTTGGAAGGAAAGGACATGTCCCTAATGGGTGATGATAAATGATAGTAGTTACTGTTTAACATGTTATATCATTTGGCTTATTTCTTTTTTGGTCTGCATTTATAGTACATTGTAGGAAAAAAATTCCACAAGACTTACTAAAATTGATATAGAATGAGACCAAGGCCTTGGAACAGCTTCCAGTGCAATCTCTACTAAAAGAGCTGCTGTTCGTATATAGCAGCTTCACTGGCCAAATCAGCACAACCAGCCCATGGAGAAAGGCTTCTAGAATTCTCTGTAGGATGAAATGTGAGTAAAATGTGGGACTAGTAGGTTAGTCGTCTTCGAATTTTGAGGTAATAATTATGGAAAATATATCTTTTACAGATGTCTTTTGGGAAAACATAAAGCTGCCATTGAAGTCTATAATGAAGCAGCTAAACTCAACCAGAAGGATTGGTTAAGTAGAGAACTTTCACTTCTTTCTTTCTTTCTGTTTTTTTTTTTTTTGAGATGGAGTTTACTCTTGTCGCCCAGGCTGGGGTGTAATATCCGTGATCTCAGCTCACTGTAACCTCCTCCTCCCGGGTTCAAGCAATTCTTCTGCCTCAGCCTCCCAAGTAGCTGGGATTACAGGCACACCCTGCCATGCCCGGCTAGTTTTTTTGTATTTTAGTAGAGAGGGGGTTTCACCATGTTGCCCAGGCTGATCTCGAACTCCTGAGCTGAGGCAATCCACTCGCCTCAGCCTCCCAAAGTGCTAGCATTGCAGGCATGAGCCACTGCGCCCAGCCCTCATTTCTTTCTTGTTAGTAAACAGGCTGATGGTTCCATTTATCATATGAGTGTCTTCTTATTTCTGAATTCTTATATTCCAAAAATGTCTTGATTTTATCCTCATACTCGATTCATGATTTGTCTAAGTATAGGACCCAAACCCATATTTTTTCATAACTTGGCGGGCATTGTTGCATGATTTTCTAACAGTTTGCTGATGAGCAGTATCTTACCAGTCTGATTCTTGTTGATGACCCCGAGAAGCTTTGGGTATTGTTTTTCATCATTGGAGTTCCAAAATGTCAGCAATAGGCATCTAGTTGTGTTTTATGTCTTTTTCCCATCCCCATCTGTGTGACATTCAGTTGGCTCTTTCTTTGAGTCAGGGTCTTTGAGTAGTTACTGGCATTGATTTGGTGGTCCTAGGACATCAAGGCTGCAAGTTTTTCCTCATGGTTGCAGGAAGAATGCTGCATCTAACATCACATCTGCATTCTAGGAAGGGAGAAAGAGAAAGCAACAAGGAGAAAAGAACAGAGCCTATATTGGGAAAGCACAACTTTACCAGAAGTTCACCACAGACTTCCATTTATATCAGCTCTCTTTCTATAAGGAAGGCTGGTAAATGTAATTTTAGTCTGGTCATATTGCCACTCTAAACAAAATTAGGGTTCTGTTAGTAAGGAAAAAGAGAAGAGTAGGTAGCAGGTAGGTAACTAGCAGCATTTGCCACACTGTTTTCCATTCTCTATGAGACATGTTCTCGAACTATTCTCCACAACTCTTAACTTGCCTCTCATTTTCTACCTCCTTTTCTTTTTTTTTTTTTGGACAGATGCTTACTCTTGTCGTCCAGGCTAGAGTGCAGTGGCACAATCTCAGCTTACTGCAACCTCTCCTAGCATCAAGTAATTCCGCTGCCTCAACCTCCTGTGTAGCTGGGATTGCAGGCACCTGCTACCACACCCAGCTAATTTTTGTATTATTAGTAGAGATGGGGTTTCACCATGTTGGCCAGGCTGGTCTCTAGCTCCTGACCTCAGGTGATCCACTTGCCTTTGCCTCCCAAAGTGCTGGGATTATAGGCGTGAGCCACTGTGCCTAGCCCTACTTGTTTTTTATTGTACAGGACATTTATTCAGTATTATCTTCCAGATCAACATTTTTGTTTTCAGCTATTTGTATTTTGTTATATAGCCTATCCATCCAATATTTTTTTGTTTCGTTTCCTTTTATTGTATTTTTAATTTCCAAAAATTTTCTCTTGTCTTTTTGTCATAGCCTTTCCAATATGACAAAAACTTCAGATTGTTGAAGTTCAGGAAAACAGAACTTCAGATTGTTGAAGTTCTATTTTGCTTCTCAGAATTATCTTTTTCTTCCTTTCTTCATTTTGGTTCTTCTATTTTATGCTGTTGGTGTTTTTCAAGTATTTGATGATTCTTGGAGAGACATTCATATCTATGAGTGAAGGACTTGATTTATTGGTACAGAGAATTAACATGGATTTCCTTTGCATTTCTTATGGGGCACTATTATTTTTGAAGTGTGTTCAATTTGTCAGTCACTTTTCTTCTGTATGTCTGAAGATTGAGTTGAGTCTTTATGCTATGAAGTATGTTATAGTTAACAGCCAGCATGAAGCTACAGATAAAGAAAAATTCATATACTTTTTATTCATGCAGGTTTTCAGAAAAATGAGTATGTCTGCTATATGCCAAGCACTGCTCTATTCCCTGGAGATGCCAAGATGGACTGGTGGATTTTAAGATAATCAACTAGAATAGGAAATATGGGAAGGAAGAGGAGCAGGTTTTGGAAGAAGGTGATGGTAAGAAATCAGAGTTAACTCCCGTCTTTCAGAAGAATTTTGACATGATAAGTTTTAGGTTGTGTGGAGATATCTAAATTGAGATGTGTCCAGTATGGTTGGATATAGAAATCTGAAACTCAAGTGTATGGAAGAGAGATGTACATTCTGGAGTCAACAACATAAAGGTGGTAATTGAAACCATTAGCTTTAGCTTGGATGACATTACCCTGCAATTAGCGGAGGGTGGAACTCTGGAAAAAACACTGTTTTACTTTTTTTTCTTTGAGACAGCACAGGAAAAGTTACCGCTCTAATGCAGGGAGGAAGCCCTGCACTGTGTTTGGGGGCCAGGACCATGGGGTGGCCAGCACCACAAACAGTCACCACACAGGCCAGTAAGGAGCCAGGACCCACCAAGAATCCCTGGAACATCCCTGGGTGCTAGCAGTTTTTTACTTTCTAAACTTTTTTTAAAGAGACAAGATTGCCTAGGCTGGAGTACAATGGTGTGATCATAGCTTACTGTAACCTCCAAATAGGGCTCAAGTGATTCTCCTGCCTCTGCTTCCTGAGTAGCTGGGACTAAAGGCATGTGCCACCTCGCCTGGCTAAATTAATTTTGTGAAGATGAGGGCTCATTATGTTGCCCAGGCTGGTCTCAAACTCCTGGCCTCAAGTGGTCCTCCTGTTTCCGCCTCTCAGAGTGCTGGGATTTCATGTGTAAGCCATCAAAAACCAGTTTTGAAGGACTGAGCAGAAGAAGATAACCCAAAGAGGGAGATAGGGAAGAGGTAAAACAGGAAAGCTCAGGGTCACAGGGGGAATAGAATATGTTTCTTAACCTATCCAGTTGATTAAAAGAGCTAATTTGGTATTACTGACTCACTTGGGATAACCATTCTATTGTTACTAGTAGATGTGGTCATTCACAAAACAGTCATTCTCTTTTTTCTTTTTGAGACAGTGTTTCCCTCTGTCACCCAGGCTGGAATGCAGTGTCATAATCTTGGCTCACTGCAACCTCCGCCTGCTGGGATGAAGAGATTCTCCTGCCTCCATCTCCTGAGTAGCTAGGAATACAGGGACACGCCACCATGCCCCGACTAATTTTTGTATTTTTTTTTTTTGAGACGGAGTTTTGTTCTTGTTACCCAGGCTGGAGTGCAATGGTGCAATCTCAGCTCACCACAGCCTCCGCCTCCTGGGTTCAGGCAATTCTCCTCCCTCAGCCTCCTGAGTAGCTGGGACTACAGGCACGTGCCACCATGCCCAGCTAATTTTTTGTATTTTTAGTAGAGACAGGGTTTCACCATGTTGATCAGGATGGTCTTGATCTCTTGACCTCGTGATCCACCCGCCTCGGCCTCTCAAAGTGCTGGGATTACAGGCGTGAGCCACCATGCCTGGCAATTTTTGTATTTTTAATAGACACAGGGTTTCACCATGTTGGTTAGGCAGGTCTCAAACTCCTGACATTGTGATCCACCACTTCGGCCTCCCCAAGTGCCGGATTTATAGGTGTGAACCACTGCACCCGGCCTTTTTTAAAAAATTTCTAATTTTTCTTCCAAATTTTCTCCATCATGGCATTTTTCTTTTCTTTTTAAAAATTTTTAATGATTTTTCATTCTAGTTTTATTAACAGGCCTTTCTCTACCCTATGTATTTTATAAGTACTTGTAGAAAACCTTGTAGTAGCTGGAGCATGATGACTCACACCTGTAATCCGAGCACTTTTGGATGCTGAGGCGGGAGGATCACTTGAGCCCAGGAGTCTGAGACCAGCCTAGGCAACACAGAGACCCAGTTTCCAGAAAAGAAAAAAAAATTAGTGGTCATGTGCACCTGTAGTCCCAGCTATTCTAGAGGCTGAGGTGAGAAGATCACTTTAGCCCAGGAGGTTGAGGCTACAGTGAACTGTGATCGCATCACTGCACTTCAGCCTGGGAAGCAGAGCAAGACCTGTCTTTTAAAAAAAAAGGATACCTTGTAGCTCTACTTTTGTAGACTCATCGGGTATTTCACAGTCTTGCTACAATAGGAGAATGGTAATTATCTTATTTTACTTTTGGAACAGCTCTGTTAAGCAGGGAGAATTTCCCCCATCGACAAGTGAGGAAGCTAAGGCTTTGGATGATGGAATGTCTTGCTTAAGGATAGGAAGTTTCTACAGTGAGGTAGTTAGTTGCTGAGCCAGAACTGGAATTCAGGCCTGTGATCTAGGATGATCTAAGATTCCTCAACTTAAGACTGTGATCTTGGCTGGACCGCTGTGGCTTACACCTGTAATCCTAGCACTTTGGGAGGCTGAGGCAGGAGAATCACTTGAACCCAGGAGGCAGAGGTTGCAGTGAACTGAGATTGTGCTGTTGTACTCCAGCTTGGGCAACAAGAGTGAAACTCCATCTCAAAAACCAAAAACAAAAACAAAACAAAACGAAAGACTGATCTTTCCATTGTACCAACTGCCTTGTTGGATTCCCTTACCTCCTGGAAGGTAGGATTTGCTCTCATTTGTTCTGTTGCCCTTTGCAAATTTTCTTTGCTGTCAGTTTCTTAAAGGTATATTGCTACCTTCTCAAATATCTATGTCAAAGATTTTTTTTTTTTTGAGACAGAGTTTCGCTCTTGTTACCCAGGCTGGAGTGCAATGGCGTGATCTCGGCTCACTGCAACCTCCGCCCCCTGGGTTCAGGCAATTCTCCTGCCTCAGCCTCCCGAGTAGCTGGGATTACAGGCACGCGCCACCGTGCCCAGCTAATTTTTTGTAATTTTTTAGTAGAGACGGGGTTTCACCATGTTGACCAGGATGGTCTCAATCTCTTGACCTCGTGATCCACCCGCCTCGGCCTCCCTAAGTGCTGGGATTACAGGCTTGAGCCACCGCGCCCAGCCTATGTCAAAGATTTTAAAAGATTAGAGGTTAGCCTTCAGGACATCTGTTTATTTACTTACTTTGACAATTCCTACTGCAGAGCAGGACATTTAAAAGACAAGAAAGTCTTTATTTCTGCCTTGTCTCTCTCCATGTATGCATTCTTACAGCATGGCAAAGTTGAAAGTATTCAAGTTTTGGAAGGAGGCCTGAGTTAAAAATACCAGTGCTTTGTAATATGGACATGATTTGAGTCGTGATTGAATAAAAACAATTTTAAAATGTGAGACATTTGTGGGATAATTGGAAATTTGAAACTAATTGAATATCTAATATCAAGCAGTCACTATTCTTTTCAAGTATACTAATGTGGGTACGTTAAAAAAGGGCCTTATCTTTTAGAAATATATATGGAAATATTTGTGAATAAAATGTTGGGCTATCTGGTAGTTGCTTACAAAAGTAGTGGGGAGCTCATGGGGTGTGGATTGGATGATTGTCGGGACAGGATGATAAGTACATGGTGACTCTGTCTGCAACTTATATATGATTGAAATTCTCCCTAAAACTTAGTTCTCCCTAGAACTAAAAAAGAAAAAAAAATCTTGGGCCGGGTGCGGTGGCTCAAGCCTGTAATCCCAGCACTTTGGGAGGCTGAGGTGGGTGAATCACGAGGGCAAGAGATCGAGACCATCCTGGTCAACATGGTGAAACCCCGTCTCTACTAAAAATACCAAAATAATTAGCTGGGCATGGTGGCGCGTGCCTGTAATCCCAGCTACTCAGGAGGCTGAGGCTGGAGAATTGCCTGAACCCAGGAGGCAGAGGTTGCGGTGAGCCGAGATCACGCCATTGCACTCCAGCCTGGGTAACAACAGCGAAACTCCGTATCAAGAAAAAAAAAAATCTCACTGTTGGTACTTTGTGTTAAGTTAGGTAATGTACTCAACCTCTATGAGCTTCAATTTCCTTATCTGTAAAACTGGAATAATTATAACAATGTTGCAGGTTTGCTGAAAATTAAAGTAACATGAAAACATCTAGCATAAAGCTTGATGTTAGTAGGTGCTCAATCAGTGGTTGCTGTTTGGTTGTTACTATTTTAGGAGACTTGGAAAACATTAAATCAGTTATCTCTGAGCCTGTGGGAGTCCATGTTTCCTCAGACAGGGCCACATCTCCACTACTAATAGGGTAGTTCTTACCGTGTTTCCCAAGAGCATTTGCCTCACCCTTGCTTTCTCCTTCTCCAAAGCTACCTTAAATTAAGGGAGGTTTATCGTAAAGGAATTTGAGAGTCCATTAAACAGTATCAAGAGGTGCAGGTTGGTCTTTTAGTGAAGCAGAACTGGAATGCTTCAGCAGCCAAGGTATGCACTCTGCCTTTTTTGCTTCATCTTTTCTTTCTGTAAATCAAAAGTTGGCAAACTTTTTTTGTGAAGGGCCAGTTAATAAATAATGTAATTTGTACGGCTTCATACAGACTCTGTTGCAACGACTTAACTCTGCAGTTCTAATGCAAATGAGCCATATAAAAACGTGGTTGTGTCTGTGTTCCAATGAATCTGTACTTATAAAAAATGGCAGGGAATGGATTTGGCCCATGAACCAGTTTTTCCATCTCGGCTCTAGACTTCTACAGATGACTCCAATTACATGTATTCCATCATAGTGGATTCCAGGTGGTACTGTCAGTCCTCAAGTCCACATCACCTAGTAAATTTAGTACTTGCAACTAACTAGCTCTCTTCCAATTCCAGATTCCTAGGGAAAGGACTTCAATTGAGTCAGGTGTCACTATCCAACTGTCTTGCCTTAAGGGCAAAAATGTGGTGGCTAGCAGTACTCTTGGGGCTTTCAGCTTCTCTCCTGAGAAGGTGAAAAGGGTATGGGTGATGGGCAACTCTTAGAGAAAAAAGATATGAGGATGGGCTGGGTATGTGCCCCAGATTGCCCTATAGATCCAGGAAGATCACCTGTTTATTTTGCTTTTATTTTTACTAATCCATATTTTTTTATTGAGGAACTCATTTTTAACAATTAAATATATTTAAGTATGAACTCTAATAAAAAGCTGACTGTAATGCATGGTTTGAAGTTTAAACCTAAAGTGGAACAATAATCTCTAGATGTCTGTTGTTTC